GTCAAGTAGAAAGGTGAAAGCTTTGGTGGATTGGATGTTATACATAATGCATAATTGTATGATGGTACGGACTGGTTTTTTACTATTTGTTGTATGAATCATATTGAAGTTTGGAAGGGTATTAGTTGGAATTTAGATGAAATATTGAATGAAGATTTGAATATTTGGTTTAGGTTTTTCCATAAGGCCAATCAACATTAAGTCACCTGATGTTGTCCATAAGTTCAAAGTTAGCCGATATTATATTTGTCATTTGTAACAAATTTATTTATTATTAAATTATTTTTAATTTTTTAAAATTATAAAAATAAATATTTTAAAATTAATAAAAAAACCGAAGTCTTTTTTCGAATTAGCTGAAGCAATGAATGGCTTCGCTTTTTAAACCAAATCGAAGCAAACTTTGAAGTGAACTTGACAATGTTGAGCTGGCTCCTCCCAATTTTGGGGCCTAGCTTTCTTATTCAGTTGTTGAAAGACCACTACTTCAAGAGCAGGGATAGCGGGAGTACTTGAAATACGCAACGGACGAGCTTTATCCCACCATGAAAGATAATTCAGAGTGCATGAAGGAGTACTCTTCTTCACTGAACCATCCTTCTTGAAAGAGGTCCTTTTTTTTTCTAGTAAGAGTCACATTGATCTCAATAAGTTGAACGAATATGGAATCAAAGGATATATAGATATGCGTTTGGCGTTGTCAGCAAGTGGAGCTATTAAATATTGTTCAAATCTGAAATGTCTTAGCACCCTGGGAGGGAAATAGAACTCCATGAAATATTGGCCTCCTAAACTGATATAAGAATGACTTTGGTGAGGCAAAGTCATGATGACATCCTCCAAGTTATGAAAAGCCCATTGAAATTCTGCAAGTATATCCAGAAGCCCTCTATAGGAGGCAACATCATTAACTTCCATCTAAATGCTCGTATAAGCTAGAGCCATGGCATCAGCAGCAGTGATAGGGTTTCAAAGCGTAGAGCCAACAAACTACTATGGGTTCGAAAGCTCATTTATGTCAAGAAAGAAAAATATGAAAAAGGTTCGAAAAAAAAAGAGAGAAAGAATTAACAATAATAAAAAGTTATTAGGGGTCCTTTCAAGCACAATAAAAAGAGAGAAAAAAAATATATATGGATGAGAGATAAATATTATGGGAACCAAGCAAAAATAAGACATGAGAAGAGAAGGTTATCTGTAGTATAACCACGCTTCCTTCCAAAATTGACAGCCATGCACCACCCAGCCAAAGAGAGCTCGATAGGTAACCGCAAGCACACAGCAACTATGAAAGTGTTCTGAATTTTTCCACAAGCTTGAAACTCAAGGAACCAATGAGCTTCAATACATCTTAGAGCAAGTGGGAAGAAGGACCAAGCCTACTAGGCACAAGATTGAGTAGTTATCTAGAGATGGGTTGGTAGTCAAGGGTTGGGAAGAAAAGAGAATTGGTGTGGTAACTAAATCTTCAGTCAATTCCTCGATAAAAGGGAAGTTAAAATGAGTCCAAGCCATACTAAAAGTACCTTGACGAGACTGATTTCTGAGGAAGAGCCTCAAATCTTGCCACTATTGTGCAAAGTGGTACTAAGGTTGAAACCATGGGTACCCTAGTATCTATGAAACACGTTATCCTCTTAAAACACTTTGGGAAATGTGAATCGAAGAAGAACAGAGAAAGGAAAGGGAATTGAAGACTCTTCTCTTTCGAAGACTCTTCTCTTTCTTTCTCGTGGCTGATAAGGGCTGACCCTTCTTAGGTGCCATGGGAGTCAAGGAATTTGAGAAGCCCTACTGAAATTGAAGAAGAAAGCCCTAAAGGTTTGCTGGAAAATTAAAGAAGAAAGAAGAAAAGCCTAGAGAGAAAGAATAAGTTGAAGAGCCTCAGGATGAATAAAATCCATCTAGGGTAGGGTGGGGGTATTTATCAACCCTTAATGAATCCAAGTTTGGAATTGGGACTCAACAAGGAGCAATACATTCCAAAGTCGAAATTTTTTTATTTTATAAAAAAATAACAAAATAACTAAATTTAGGACAAAAGCCAGTTGCACAAACATGGTTGTGTAGCACATTTAAACATATAAATAAAAAATAATCCTTAACTACTTTAGGCCTCTTCCTTCAGTTCGGGCTCATGCTCAGATTTGGACTGTTCCTTGGAGAGCTTCTTCAGGAGCTTCTTGTTATCATAGAGGTTAATGTTCTAAGTTGAGACCATGTCTCTTCTTTTTTAGCGTTTTGATGACTTCAACTTTGATAAACAAGATATCTCGGGCTCTAACAAGCCCAAAAGTTTACTTAGTCAATTTCATGAACCTTGTCTTCAAAGATAGGGTCATCATTGTCCCATTCCCAAGTAATGTCATCAGGGACGAACTTCAGGTCTTCATGATTAGATGAGGGAGTACAAACCTCCATGTCTCCACATGGAAGTTTCTTGCGTAGGAAGCTCAAGTTCGCTAAAAAGCATTATTAGGGTTTTGAGGTTTGCCCCCTTGATGTTTGGAGTCGCAAGAGTCAAACAGTGGTTTGGAAATTCCATGGATTTACAAGGGATATCAAATAATATTAAGCATGAATTCTCAAGGATCCTCCTTATATAGAAGAATTGTGATGAACGAATACTTGCATGAAATAAAGATCGAAGTTTTCAAAGAAACTCTTTGTCAGTCCCCAGGAAAAGGATTAAAAATGGGAGTTTTTTATGGGTATATTCAGTCAATAATAGCCCCCAAGGGTATAAATGGTGTATCCTTGTTCGAAGGGGTGAATTAGCAAAGTATATGCGTTTTTCTTCTTTTTTATCAGCTAGAACACTTATAGAAGTCTAAATATAATTAAATAAATACAAAATGAGGTTTTCACTTGTTGCCACTAATAAAACTTATTTTGTTCAATAACTAAAAATCATACAAGACTCTTGGGAACATGAAAACACAAGTCTGCAAAGCATAATGTAAATTGTTAGAAAATTACCTCAGCTACACTTTGCACACCCCACTCCGATTCTCCTCTTCCAATGGCACATTTGATCAATTGTCTATCCACATCCCACTCCGGGTCTCCTCCTCCAATGCGCATGAAATTAATAGTGTATTTCAGATTTTCAAAGCACAGGAAAGCAATGGTAGAACAAGGCACAAAGCTAGATTGCTTCAATGATTTGTCAGGGGCATGCCTACCCTATGGTTGGGGCGTGCGCCCTATTTTTGCTTTCTCAAATTATTTTCATAAGCAGGGGAGGCTTAGCGATAGGAAAGAAATGGTGGAACAAGACACAAAGCCAAAAGGCCTCAATGATTTGTATGGAGCATACCTAACCTATGGTTGAGGCGTGCCCCCTATTTTCTCTTTCTCAAATTATTTTCCTAAGTAGGGGAGGCTTAGATTAGAGAGAGAGAATGGGTGGCGTGCCACCTTGAGAGGGAGAGAGATCAAAGGTGTAGAAATTAACGCTCTTATAGAGGCTATTTATAGATTTTCTCAGGGTTAGCCATTCTAAGGAGAATAGATCTATACCATTGATCATATAAATAAGGTGAACTTAAAATCCATTAAAAAAATATTGTTTTGATTTTGAAAATGACCCCGGAAGTTACGAGTCCCCCGACTCATAGTATTTTCATTCCGGCTCCCTTGAACACTTGTTGTTTGTATCTATCTTGGATCAAAATTTGAAGTGATCCATGATTTGAACTATGATGATCATGAATATAAATGATAAAATATAATAAAAAAAATTTTTAAAATATTTCTATTAGAATATTTCCTATCCATTGGAGAAGAATCTTTAGTTGTGGATGTTTGTCTTAAAGATGAACATTTGTGATTGTGTTGGTTAGTGAGTCCGCTGACTCATAAAACACTTTTTCTTTTGAAAAACACTCTAATAGATCATCTCAACATCAAAATGTATGAACATGTGAAAGGGAAAAGTTTATATAGAGTCGAGGCTCTAAACAATCAAAATTGAGCCTACCTCAAAACTTGCACTAGAAGAGGTTGTTTTGATGCCGAAATATCTTCAAATTGATCATCTCGACATCAAGATTCATGGACATGAAAAAAAACTGGATCTCAAGTTTTGGAAATAGTATATTTTGTGACACATTTTTGGACCGTCAATTTTCAAGACTTTCAACTTTTCATAGATATGTCGATCTACACTATTTTTTAATCTTTAAACTCTATAAATAAATATAAAAATATATTTTAAGGTTATCACAAAGATTTTCAATATTGAAACCATATTTCTCAATGCTATTTGAAGGTAGGCTCTAATTCAATTGTTTAGACCCTAGGTTCTATACAAACCACACCCTATGTAAAATGACAAAGATTTCAAGTCCAAAAATAGTGCATCTTGCAACATATTATCTAGACCGTCTATTTTCAAAATTTTCATATGTTTGTAGAGTTTTAAAATCTATAATTAAAGATAAAAATAAATTACAAAACCATCTTAAGAATTTTTTACAACAAACACTACATTTTATAATAAATTTTGGAGGTGCAACTTAATGGGATTGTTTAAGGTCGCAACATTATACAAACCTGACCCTTATTTGAAGGAAAATTGTTTCATGCGGATTGGACCACATTTTTATATATGAAGTCTAGAAAGTGTAAAGCATCAATCTTAAAGATGGATGCAAGTAAGTGTTCCATCTAAACAAAAATAGAAACTAACAATCCAAATATTTTTTTACTAGAAATATTAGTTTAAACTTTTAAAATTTATTTACTATTTCATATTCATGAGCTCCATATTAGAGATTATATGTCCCCAAAAAATTAAGTCTTAAAATCTATTTAAAAAATTAATTTATTAAGAGGCCCGCAATTCTACATATGCGGGCTTGGCCGCATAGAAACCGGGTCCTTATTTCAATAACGTGCATGAGGTCTTCTACGTTTTCCCGTGTTTTTTGGACGCAGGCGTTCTTTAATGGTATTTATAAAACGTAAGAAACAACTTCTTGACCTAATCAGCCAAGCCTCTACTATAACTAAGACTGAACTACTTGATGCTTACCTTCAACAATCTAATCCGAGCGGGACTCGTTTGCTAGAGAGAGAGAGCTCCCAAACCAAAACAGAGAGAGGGAGAGACCCCGCGCGCTAGAGAGAGAAAGCTCCAAAACCAAAACAGAGAGAGAGAGAGCTCCCCTGTGCACTGTACTTAACCCGACCATAAACCTCTCCACTTTTGATCGAGAGGGAGAAAAACTCTGCTAATTTAGCGAGCGAGAGGGAGAGAGGCTTCGCAAATGTTCTTTTTAAATCTGCTTAAATAGGGCAGAAGCTTCTCATATAGACATTGTCTCATTCATTTGAGAGGCCTGCAACAATGGAGAGGTCTTCTGGTATAGCACTCTCTTCTGGCCCTGACGCAGTCAAGAGAAAGGTCTCATACTTTTATGACCCCGGTATTGGTAACTATTACTATGGCCAAGGGCACCCCATGAAGCCCCATAGAATCAGAATGGCCCATAACCTCATTGTTCATTACAATCTCCACCATCTCATGGAGATCAATAGGCCTTGCTTGGCCAACACAGATGATATAATGAAGTTTCATTCTGAGGATTATGTTAACTTTTTGCAGACTGTTACACCTGAGACTCAGCACGAGCAGGTGAGTTTCTCAAAATTGTGCTCCACTTTTTTCTTCTTTTCTGATGCTATATACTTATTTTTCCTGAAATATGTTTTCGTTTCTTGTTTAATTTGATCTTTTTTTCTTCTTTCTCTCGTTTTTTTTTTTTTTGAGTTCTATTTTGTTGGGGCTTTCATTTTATTTTTCTTTATTGTTGATTTTAGTTTCATGGTTTGGGTGATATGGATGATGGTTTATGGATTTCTTCTTCAGTTTTTTCTGTTGGGTGTTATATTTTGTTATCCTTTGTGGTCTAACTACTTTCTCTGCTGAAATACATATCTGAATTCTGCTACAACTTGGATGGAGAAGGAAGTATTCAAACAATTGAATCAACTTAGAAAGCCATAGAAAGAGTTCCTTGTGGGCTCCATTTGTTTTCAGAATATCGCCAACTATTTCCTCGATGTTGTTATGGATCATCCTTAGGAATAAAAACACCTAAACATGTGAAGAAATTCAATTCCAAAGTAGTGCTTTCTATTAAAAAAATTCTATAGGCCTGTAGGGACTTTCATACGCCCACCTATGAAAGTACACTCTCTTCTATAGACCTGGTAGGGACTTTCATACACCCACCTAAATGTAGATGAATTAGGAGTCCCTCAGAAATCAAGTTTATTTTCTCTTTTTTTTTTCGTTTTCCATCCCTTATTCTCAACAGAGAAATTTCATGGTTCATTACCTTATAAATTCTACATCTTCTATATTTAATTATTTATTCACATCTTTATTTAATGCTACTAGTGAAAATTTGATAATTGATGTGAAAATGGTATTTGATGAGGAAACTAGTAAAATTCTGATAATAATTTTTGTGACTTTGTATAGATGAGGCAGTTGAAGAAGTTTAATGTTGGTGAGGATTGCCCTGTGTTTGATGGAATTTTCAATTTTTGCCGGGCCTCCGCTGGGGGTTCGATTGGGGCGGCAGTGAAATTGAATCGGGGTGATGCAGATATTGGGATTAATTGGGCTGGGGGGCTTCATCATGCAAAGAAATGTGAGGCATCAGGGTTTTGCTATGTGAATGATATTGTGTTGGGGATCTTGGAGCTGTTGAAAGTCCACCGTGTAAGGAACCATCTCTCCCTCTCTCTCGCCTGTGTGTCTATATGGGTGACTAATATTCATACTTTTTGTTGGTTAGTTGTCTTGGTGAATTACTTATTTAATATTTTTAATATGGTGGCATTTGGTTTTTTGTTGTTTAAAGGCATATGCTTTAGAGAATACATTTGAGGGAACTTGCAACATGTTATTGTTCTTTCTGTGAATGGCTTGATGCAAGTTATGATGAATGGCATTAGGTCTTTAATAATTCATGTAGTTTATTTCTTTGACTACCTTTCGGGTTTGAAGCTTTAGGAATGAGTTTTGGTTGTTGGTTGGAGGAAAATGTTAGCACATTTATGTCTCTTCTCCTCCCAGCATTGTGTCATAAATTCATTCAATGCCTACTAATTGAGTATCTATCCTATTCATAATAGCTTACTTGCCATTGATTACTGCAAAGCCCATATCTTACTTTGCATGAGCTGCAGATGTATCCTATGCATCTAAATGAACCCAAATCTCAATATTCCATCTATGAAGAGTTTAATATGCCTCTTGATATGAAAGTAGAGTCTTAAGATGAAGCCTTTTCTAAAGTCTTACTGTCCCATTTGTTTGGAATGATTTTGGAGTTTAATTTTTGTTTGGAATGATTTTGGAGTTTAAGTGTTTGTTAGATATGATTGTGGTTTCCAAGATCTTGCATATGTCCTTTGAGAGACTATTTTATTTGTACTCAGCACTCTGCTGTTGAATCCTCTTTTGTTAGGGTTTAGTTTGTTAGTCCTTTTTCTATTGGTGTCCATACTTCAATGAGTTTGCCATCCATGTTTGAACCAGGATCGTAGCACCTGGAAGTACTTTTAGATTGTCAATTGGCTCCCTTTCTTCCTTCGTTACCTTGCATTCAATTACAAATGGGTGATGCCTCTCTTTGTTTCTTTCTATTTGATGTATCTGGGCGCTAACTTATTTACTTTTGAGGACAACTAATTGTTCCACATGTAATGCTACATCCTATTCCTCAAATCACGTGTCTGCAACATTAATATATGGAATCAGTAACCCATTTCGCATATGTTCCTTCTGTCAAATATAATTTGGCGTCGATGATGATCTTTCCAGGGTTCTTTAAGTGAGTTTTGACTATAACACTACCTGAACATGTTAAATAGCTTCCATGAACTTGGCCTATGGATTGAAATTGTTGACGACCCTAGAACCTCAAACCCTTGTGATTGTGCATCATCATTGAATTTTTTTTCTGACTTTTATGCTATGGAATCCATATTTGTACTCATGAAAGATATACATTTGCATTGTGTTTGCGTAGATATGTTTATTACTATGAAATGTTGGAGGATAACCCATTTACTCCCATAATGCCTCTCCTTGCCCTTATTGACCATCCATATATTGCAACTTTCATCATAGTCCCCTTTTATCTCTCTCATCAGACTCCCAGCCATGGTGATCAAATGATCTTCTTGATGCTAGTTTGTCTTTCAAACTCTGAAATTGAATGACTTGTATTTTATTCTATTTATGAATTCAGTCTTCTACTTGTTTCATTAATTTGTTTAATTTTTCATTTTGTTTATGGAATCTGCTCGATTCATCAAAGCCAAGAAGATTGTGTTTTAGATCTATTCTTTTTCTTCGTTATGTTTTTTTAGCTAAACCCTATTCTCTCTTTTTTAGTACTTTAGCAATAACATTCATAAGCATCTGATCACTTCATCATGCTCCAATTCTCCTATCATAACTTTTTTAAAAAAGAACAATGTTTGGCAGATATTTGTAGATAATTTAGAATATGGAAATAGCTTTTGTTGCAGATTTTCAAGTGCCACGCAACTCAACTGTGGGTAAAACCTTTTTCCTTCCTCTTTTAGTTAGAGATTTAGTGATACTCATGAATGGAATATCACATTGTCATTAGTTCTTATGCTTTCTTGACAACTTTCCCAAAAAGTTATGGACAAACACATCTGGTCTGCTTATATAGAATTTATTTTTCTTGGATATTGATATCATGGACCAGTCACACACAAACATCTAAATACGTACTTATGTGCATATGATAACTACAATTCCTACTACTTATGCTTTTGATTCTATACAATTGATTTCGTTCCTGCATTTGTGCTCAGAGATTTTATGCCCATTCCTTTGTTATTGTGATTGGTATGTGCAATTCCCTCACTGTTTCTCTTTGGCTTCGAACTTCTCCCTTGTTCTTTTTACTCTATCTTGTTATTGTATTTCTGTTGCAACATGCATACCTACAATGGCACGAAAGAAAAACAGAAAAAACAAAAAAATAATAAGGCTAGGTGACATATTATTACAGCATAACTTCTCTCTGATCCACATTTATCTCTTTGGACATGAGTTTGATTTGGTCTTGTTGGGCAGCGTGTTCTGTATGTGGATATTGACATCCATCATGGAGATGGTGTGGAGGAGGCATTCTACACAACTGACAGAGTCATGACTGTTTCTTTCCACAAGTTTGGCGATTACTTCCCTGGAACTGGCCATCTTAAGGATGTAGGATTTGGGAAAGGGAAGTATTATGCCCTCAATGTTCCCTTAAATGACGGAATGGATGACGAGAGTTTCCAAAGACTTTTTAGACCCGTTATACAAAAAGTTATGGAGGTTTATCAGCCAGAAGCTGTGGTTCTTCAATGTGGGGCAGATTCTTTGTCTGGGGACAGGCTGGGGTGCTTCAATTTGTCAGTTCGTGGACATGCAGATTGCCTCCGTTTCCTAAGGTCTTTCAATGTCCCTCTGATGGTTTTAGGTGGGGGTGGATATACTATCCGTAATGTTGCTCGTTGTTGGTGCTATGAGGTATTGCGTGGTACCTTGATTTTTTATAGGGAAACTGCAAAAATGTGGGTCGATGTGGAAAAGAAACATTGGAGGGCAGGGATTTGGTACTCATTGGAAAGATGATGACTCTTTTTCTCCTTTTTAAAATCCTCCGTAAATATGCATATTTTATAAAACAACACTACTGTAATTTTGTTGTACTGGTGCTGATTTGTAGTTATATCTTATAATTATATAATTATATTTTTGTAACCTTGTTTGACAATGTTTTGAATGCATCAATCATGCGAAAAAGAAAAAAGAGAAAATTTTAGTGCAGGTATGGGTTGATTGGCTATTCATATGTGCACTTATCCTTTGGTGCAGACTGCAGTTGCAGTAGGAGTGGAACCTGATAACAGCTTGCCTTACAATGAATATTATGAGTACTTCGGTCCAGATTACACTCTACATATTGACCCAAGCAATATGGAGAATCAAAACTCACCAAAAGATCTCGAGAAAATCAGGTAATTACCTGGCTATTATCTTCTAATTAATGTGTCTTCAAAAATGTTATTGAATACAGTCAAAATCCTGGCAAAAGATGCTTTTGCCACAAACCTAAATAGGTCACACCCAGCTTATGTGCCAGGAGTTATATGGTTATACTTCCTCGTATTTTGCTGAATTGCTTTGGAAATCTGTCTCTAGTACTTATTTTAGATTTTGCATCCTAATCTATAAAAGTAGGGAAACTTGCTGCTGGAGAATCTGTTACCAGATTTCATATTTAAAATCATTTAATTTGTTGGTTAGACTTTTCTTTTTGATGAATACATTGTTGGTTAGTTCTGGTGCTTCAATTTCTGTGTCGCTGGCTGCATGTCAACGATGATGTGCTTCACAATATGCTACTATGATAAAGTTAAAATGTTCAGATTTTTCAGAACTAAATTTAGAGGGCTTTTGATGTTTGCAATTGTTTGCAACATATCGTGAAGTTTTAGATGTGCTTATGTGAGAGGAATTAGTACTACACATATGTATATTATATTTATTATTTTGACTAGGTGAGGATTGCATGTGCTAGAGCAGTGTTTCAAAGAGCGCTAGGGGGGTCCTAGGTGGCTTGGGGGTCTAGGCCGTCCAGCGCCTAGGCGAGCACCCAGAACCTGAGCGGCCTAGTTGAATCCAAAAAGGATTCTACAGTCTCTAACAATAAATATATCATATAAAATATAAAAATTAGGTATTTAGGGCACATCAAAATTAAAGTATACTACACATTAACACACACTCCATATGCATAACCATAAGTCGGTCCATTTCCAATTAAAACTTAAAATTTACCAGCCAAATTATCAAACTAAAGTTACCAAATATCAAATCAGTGGAACTACAAATCCACTATCCACAATACACAACCAAGGGGAAGAAAACAAAAATGAAAGTAATACTTGAAGACTCAAAAGAATCTTCAATCAATGTTTAAAGTTTAATCATTATTCATCATTCATCATCATAAAAAGTAGGGTCAGCCGCAGTTGCATCATATTCATCGGAGTCGTCACCCTCCTCGACATATTGATCGTCCTCCTCCGTCTCTTCTGAATCTGCCTCTTCTTCCTCCTCTTCCTCTACCCTCATCCTCTGTGCAAAAGATCTAGTGGCCCTAAGAGGGTCGGCTGAAGTCCCTGAAGCATTTATGACCATGTCCATGTGAATCCTTCATCAACTAACCACGTCATAACATTGTCCAAATTTTTTGATTTGATGGGGTCTCTTTTATCTCTCTTAGCAAACCTGTCCTTCAAGAATCGATAATACTTGACATAGACTAGGTTATTGAGCCTAGTTACTTTTCTTTGTATGAATCTAACAAAATCAAATGTAATTCATTTGATTATAATATATATAGTTCATGTATTATTAATATAATTATACAAATTATCCTTTGGCCTTACCCCTTCAAAAGTACTCTAATTGCGTTCGGAACTCGATGAGGAAGTGGTTAGGCTTAAGATCTGAATGGCCAACTTTTATAAATTTGGAGAACTACATTTATATTGGCTCCACCAATTAGCTGCAAAGATATAGAATTAAATCATAAATAAATAATAGAATTATAAAAATGAAACTTGATTACTTGAACTTGATGAGCTTGAGAATATTATTACTATCTGGATCAATTTTGGTCCTTTCCCTCTTCGCCATTGGACTCCCAAAAGACTTTAATGAGCACTTGTAATTTATCAGCTCATCAACGCATATAATATCCTGGATATCAAGATCAGGGACTAGCACATCTACAGACTTAATAAATCCAGTCATAATTGTATCATTTGTGTGAATATCCTTGTCAACATAAAAAACAGCTGGGTTCAAATAATAACCAGCTGCATGCAATGGCCGATGTAGCTGCCTATCCACTTCTCATCAATAATCTCTCAAATAGGCTTGTAGCAATTCTCATCATCATCGAAATTTTGGGCTATCTCTCTTTTGTATTTTTCCATAGCCTCATATATGTAGCCCATAGAAGCCTTGTCACTATCAACTATGCGAAAAACTTTGATAAGAGGAAAAAATACCTAAAAACGCCCTTCACCCCTCGCCAAAAAGCCTTAGAAAGGATGATATCTCTCACCTTCTTCCCTACCTGATCCTTGGACCACTTGCATGCTCTTCAGTCATCTGAGGTAAACGTCTGCCTCAACGCACTTTCTTTGAATGTATGCTATCTAGGCATAAGTACCAGGTCGCAAATCTCGTGACCCCAAGCTTCACATTCTCTTTCTTCTTTGTAAATCTACACATCCTGCTGAGGGTGAGATGGTGGCTATAAATGAAATTTATAACTGACTTTGCCTTCTTCACTGCATTTGACATCTCGATTAAACCGCCTAGAGCCTCAAGCATGAGGTCTATACAATGTGTTGTACATGGTGTCCAAAAGATTCTAGGATAAGCTATACGCAACAAATTAGC